CGATGCAATACAGTAGCCATATGTGGCTCTTGAGCATTTGAAATATGGCTAGTGTGAATTGAGATGCGCTGTAAATGTAAAATACACAATATGTTTTGAATGCTTAGTACAAAAAAAGACATGTAAAATGGGTGAAAGGGGTCCAAAGGTACAAACTCCCAGTTATAAAATAAATAAGTCATGGTGATTAAATGTACAGCATGGTAACTACAGTTAATATTATTGTATTGCATATTTGAAAGTTGCTAAGAGATTTGAAATTAAAAACTCTCATAACGTGAAAAACATTTTTGTAAGTATAAGAGATTTATTGTGGCTATCATTTCATAATGTATACACATGTTAAATCATGTTGTACACCTGAAACTAATATAATGTTATGTCAATTATACCTCATTTTTAAAAAGTAAATTTTAAAAATCAAGTAAAAAATATAAAATATCTGAAATTTTAAATATGGATTATATGTTGAAATGACATTGGAATACAGTGTTAAAATTTATTGATTTTAAAAAATATATTATTGAAATTAATTTTTATGTCTTTTACTTTTATGAGTGAACTAGAAAATTTGAAATCATGTGGCTCATCTTATTTTCTATTAGACAGTACTTTGCAAGAGCCAATGCTCTAACAAGAAAATCAAATAATATGTAACCTATTTCTATATGCCTAAATCAACTATGACTACATTTGTAAAGTGGAGTAGAAAACATTTTGCACAATTTTTTTACTCTGGATTTCTAAAAATATTTGCAATTGTATCAAATTTTTGTGTGATTTCATATATCTATATGATATGGAGGACATGCATAAATAATGTAAAAGCTTTTAGCCAACTCCTAAATGAGTGATATAGACAGCATTGATACTGTGGGCATTCCGAGGACAAAGCTGTTGCTGGAATCATTGGAAAGCTATCTCAGAGACTTTTGGGATTTTTATTTACCAGAAATTGAAGGATGAGCATATTTCAAGTGGGCAGAAAATAGTAAGCTGGAGGACTTGAATAAAGCCCACATAGGTAGTGAACTAGGTATGCTTAGTGGATAGTGAACAGGCCTAAATGATTTGAATCAAGGATTTCATTGTAGAAGTGAGAGAGGATTGAAGAGTTAGGTTGACACTGAATGTTGGGACTCTGAGGCCACGGAAAGAAATCTGGATGAGTTTATATAGGGACCATAAATGGTATTTATGAACTGGGAAATGATATGAAAGCAGTAGTTTTAGAGGATTGGTTTGATTATAGGAGATTATCCAAAGGTATTTTGTGAAGTGAGAAGGTACAGTGATATCCTAAGAAACAGTGTGGGGGGGAGGGAAGGGAGAGGGAATAGGTTTGAGATGTAGGAAGGCAAAATCATCAAGACTTAGTGTTTAGGAGCACCCTGCTCCGTGTGGATTGGTTTGGCTTGATTGGTTGGCGCACACCCTGTACACTGAAAGGTTGCAGGTTCGATTCCTGGTCAGGGAGCATACCTAGGTTGCAAGTTCTATCCTGGTCTGAGGGGGTGCATATAGGAGGCAACTGATCAATGTTTCTCTTGCTCTCCTTACCTCTCTCTCTCTAAAATCAATAAAAACATATCCTTGGGTGAGGATTTAAAAAAACAACAACAACCACTTACTGTTTGGGGAAAAGTGAGAAATTAGAACTGACCTTGGTTCCCCAGATATCAACAATAAAGATAAAGGTATTTTATGTGATACAGACAGTATTAATATGCTCAAAGTCACTAATCATCCGAGAAATGCAAATAAAATGACAATGAAATACCATCTCACACCTGTCAGAATGGCTATCATCAACAAATCAACAAATGACAAGTGCTGGCGAGGATGCGGAGAAAAAGGAACCCTCGTGCACTGCTGGTGGGAATGTAGACTGGTGCAGCCACTGTGAAAAACAGTATGGAGTTTCCTCAAAAAACTAAAAATGGAACTCCCATTTGACCCAATGATCCCACTTCTAGGGATATATCCCAAGAAAACAGAAACACCAGTCAGAAAGGATATATGCATCCCTATGTTATAGCAGCACAATTTACAATTGCTAAGACTTGGAAACAGCCTAAGTGCCCATCAGCAGATGAGTGGATTAAAAAACAGCGGTACATCTACCCAGTGGAATACTATGCTGCTGTAAAAAGGAAGGAACTCTTACTATTTGCTGCAACAGCTTCTGGAGAGCATTATGCTAAGTGAAATAAGTCAGAGAAAGAGAAATATCACATGATCTCACTCATTTGTGGAATATAATGAACAACATAAACTGATTAACAAAAACAGATCCAGCCTAACTGGTTTGGCTCAGTGGAATAGAGTGTCAGCCTGCAGATTGAAAGGTCCCGGGTTCGATTCATTTTTAAAAAAACACAAAAAACAAAACAGATCCAGAGACAGAGAAGCATTGATCAGACTGTCAAATCTCAGAGGGAAGGCAAGGGAGGGTGGGGGTAAGAAGAAGAGATCAACCAAAGGACTTATATGCATGCATATAAGTATAACCAATGGACACAGACCCTAAGGGGGTGAGGGCACGAGTGATGGGGTAGGGGGGCAATGGGAGGATAAAGACACACATGTAATACCTTAATCAATAAAGAAAAAATAAATTAATATTTTAAAATATGTTATGTAATGTTTTGTAGTTTTGAAATTGTAAGATAACCAATACATCCCTTTACTACAGATGAGGATTTTGAAATTCATTGCTTAAAGACTTGACTAGAATCATAGTCCCCTTGTTTAAGTGGTGGCGCTAATAATTGATCCCAGATTTTTTTTTCTTCCTAATGTATTATCTTTGGCATCTACTTCATTCCCTAGGCCAGTGCCTCAGTTTTTGGTTCTTTATTACTTTGCATTACCAGTCAATCACTAAGTTTTATTATTTGTTTCCTAAGCATTTCTCAGATCTGCCCACTTCTCTCTGTACCACTTCTACCTTAGTTCAGGTGACTCTCATCTTTCTGGATTGATATTTTCCTGAATTTTTTGAGATCTTTCTAAATCACAGAGCACTCTCTTGCCTAAATTTTTAAAATAAAATGTGTTCTTGTTAGCCTAGCCTTATAAGGCTTTTTCTCTGTTCATGCCTCTAGTTCATGATCACTTTGTTTTTCATTTTTTTGTATCTGCAGTTAATTCTGTAAGCAGTGTCCTTCCCCCCTTTTTTCCACTCCACCCTCAATCCCATACTTCAGGTCTTAGCTTAATATAATTGTCTGTTTAGTTGTCTATAACCACCTCTCCTGGCTTCTCTTACTTCCAACTCATTTAAGTCGGCTCATTAAGGGCAGAGGTTATTTCTTGCTAAATAATAGTGGACCTACAAAAATTTGTTGAATGGCTGAATGTGTTTATACTTGTAGGTCCTAACAAGTTGGAAGTAGCTTTTTTAAAAATATATTTTTATTTTATTTTTTAATATACTTTATTGAATTTTTAAAAAAATATATTTTATTGATTTTTTACAGAGAGGAAGGGAGAGGAATAGAGAGTTAGAAACATCAATGAGAGAGAAACATCGATCAGCTGCCTCCTGCACACCCCCTACTGGGGATGTGCCTGCAACCAAGGTACATGCCCTTGACCAGAATTGAACCTGGGACCCTTCAGTCCTCAGGCTGACGCTCTATCCACTGAGCCAAACCGGTTAGGGCTGGAAGTAGCTTTAATGGAGAATAGAGTCTGAAAGAATGACTGAAAAGAATTAGTCCATCATTTCCCATACTGTACTTCAGAGCATTGTATCCTACAGGATAATGTGTGTTTCCCCAAAAAAGGTTCCATAATCAAATATAGTATTAGGAAGTGCTGCAAATTATGTCCCTATCTTGGATATTCACTGTGCACATAGGAACAATCAATAAAGGCTTCAGGAAGTTCTGCGGTATAAAAAAAAAATTAATCTAGCATTTTCCTAACATTTTGATTATGAAAACCCTGATTTCTCTTAGGTTGCTAATGGTTTTTGGTATTTGGGAAATGCTAAACTTGACTGGCTGTGTGTGTTTTTCATTTTCCTCAGATCTAATTAATATAATTAAACAATATAATTAGATCATGGCCAAGGGATATTTGGAGGGACTCCAGTTGTTACAATTAGAAGAGAGAATCTGGAGAAAGATATAACAATCTTCAAATATTTAAAGGCTCCAGTAGAAGAGGAATTGAAAGTATAAGAGAAAAAGAGCAAGAACCAGGGAGGAAGGCAGATTTTGATTTTGTGTAAGGGTAACTTTCTAATAATTAGAACCTTGGAGGTAAGTAAATTTTCCCTTCCTGAAGGTTATCAAGCATTCATCTGTAAGGATGCTATAGAGGAGTTTAGCACAATAGATAACGGATAGATTGGAAGAGTAGTTTTCTGAAACAGTTTGAAAACTATTAGACTACTGAGATATTTGTCACCTTGGAATATATGTTCCTTGATTTCTTTCTAATTCTATAAGTCTATGTTGGTCTGCAGTCTCAGAAAAGAAACCAAATATGTGTTATGAAAGACAATAGAAATTTTAGTTGTATAGTTAAGTACTTTTACTTGATGGGGTATTTTTTTATAGACTTTATTTTTTAGAGCAGTCTTAGATGCACAGAAAAATTGAACATAAAGTACAGAGAGTTCCCATATGTTCTCTTCCCCCACTGTCCACATCCTGCACCACAGTGGTACATGTGTTATAATCAATGAACCTACACTGACAACATCATGATCACCCACAAGTCCACAGTTGACATTTGAGTTTACTATTACTTGATGATATTTTGGAAGAAAATGTGAATATACCTATTCATCTTTCAGGAAGTAATTTTCAGTTGTTTTCTTGCCCTAGTTTACTCTTTTCTGACTCAGAGATCTAAGAGATAGTTAAAATCCACATCTTTTTTGAAAAATTATTCAGTGTTGGGGAATGTTCTTTTTCTATAAATTAAATGTTTATACTTTTTTAAAAAAATTTTGTTTGCTAACAGTATTTTTTCTTTATTTTAAGTACCAAAAGAACTGGTGGAGCTTCATTTGAAGTTGATGAGGAAGATTGGCAAATCCGTTACAGCAGACAGATGGGAAAAATATTTGATCAAGGTAAATATTTGAAAATTGCCTTCTCTATTAAAATATTACTGTACCTAACATGAGTTTGTTATGTTTCATATTAAGCTTAACTTTTTAAAAAGTCTACTGAAAGTTGCAAAATATTACTTAGAAATTCAGATTACTATCAGTATGTGATTCTCTTTTGCAGCTACTAAGTAATAGTCTTGAGTCCTAAAGCTAGCTTTCAGAGATATTGTATCTCTTTTTTACCTAATACCGTGCTTAGGACTTTTCATGTCTTCTCATTTAATCCTTAAAATCATCCTGATCAAATCAAGTAAGATACACGTAAGGCCCAAGAAAGTCATCAAAGTTACCAGCAAGGCCAAACCTATCCTTAATGAGAATAACCTAGGTAATCATAAAACGGTTGTTTTAGGATGAACCCTATTTAAGGCAAGACCAATTCCAGGGAAAATTACCTGGAATTGCATCTAAACTTAAAGAACCACACCATTTTTGGAAGCCTAAGCTGATGTATGTACCTACCTTCATGATGGCCCCGGGGGTATTTTGAATCTATGACATAGCAGAATATTAGGTTGTAATTTATTTATTTATTTACTTATTTATTAAATATATTTCTATTGATTTCAGAGAGGAAGGGAGAGGGAGAGAGAGCTAGAAACATCAATGATGAGAGAGAATCATTGATCAGCTGCCTCTTGCACTTCCCACACTGGGGATCAAGCCTGCAATTCGGGCTTATGCTCTAACCAGGAATCAAACCGCCACTTTCTGGTTCATAGGTCGACACTCAACCACTGAGCTACACCAGCCAAGCTAGATTATATTTTTAGATGATTGGAAAACCATGTCATTTTCTTGTCTTCTTTAATATATAAATGTATGTTTACATAGATACATGTATTTTTATAACTGTTCTTTTTTTGGTGGGGGAATGTATATGATTATACAGTGCTATGAAAAGAGGAAACAAGAGTTGCTTGTTTTTATTATAAAAATCACATGTGCTGTTCCAGTTATCTTTGCTGTATAACACACCACTCCAAATTAAGTGACATAAAACAATAATCATTTTAGCTCACTGATTCTTTGGGTCAGGAATTTGAAAAGTTCACTTGCACTATACTCTGTTGGTTGAAGTAGCCACAATTCTCCCTAGTTCTGTGAGAGGAAATAGAGACCCAAACTCTCAATGGTAGTAGTGCCTTAACTTTTGAAAAACTCAATATGAAATATATTTCGATAATTTTGCACAAGTTTGAAACATTGCAAAGTTGGCTCAGCATTTCAAAAATGCAATGCTATGGGATTTTCTAAAAGCCCTAATTAATTAATGTTTAATTAAAAATCTGAACTGTGTTGCCATGGTCAGGTGGCTTAGTTGGTTGGAGTGTTGTCCCATAAACCAGAAAGGTTGCAGGTTTGATCCCCAGTCTGGGCGCTTAAGGAAGGCAATGGATCAATGTTTCTCTCTCTCTCTCTCTCCACCCCCCTCTCTCTAAAACAGCCGTGGGCAAACTACGGCTCCCGGATCCGGCACGTTTGAAATGAATAAAACTAAAAAAAAAAAAGACCGTACCCTTTTATGTAATGATGTTTACTTTGAATTTATATTAGTTCACACAAACACTCCATCCATGCTTTTGTTCCGGCCCTCCGGTCCAGTTTAAGAACCCACTGTGGCCCTCGAGTCAAAAAGTTTGCCCACCCCTGTAATAGGGTGACTAAAGAGAAGGTGGTGAGGGGGTATGTGTGTGTGTTTGTATGTGTGTGTGTGTGTGTGTGTGTGTGTGTATGTGTATGTGTATACATATATATTGCCTGGCCAGAGTGTCTCAGTAGTTGAGCGTTGACCCATGAACCAACAGGTCCCAGTTCGATTCCCGGTCAGGGCACATGCCCAGGTTGCAGGCTCTATCTCCAGTAGGGGGCGTGTAAGAGGCAGCCAATTGACATCTCTCATAGATGTTTCTCTATATCCCTCTCATTTCCTCTTTCTCTAAAATCAATAAAAATAGCCCTAGAGTGTTGGCCTGTGGACTGAAGGGTTCCAGGTTTGATTCTGGTCAAGGGCACATACCCCTGGCTGAGGGAACCAATTGATGTGTCTCTCTCACATTGATGTTTCTCTCTCTCTGTCTCTCCCCTTCCCTTCCAATCTCTCTAAAAATCAATGGAAAAATATCCTCAGGTTAAGATTAACCAAAAAATAAAATAAATAATATCAATTAAAACATATTTTAAAAATATATATGAAATATGTTAAACTGTGAATGACAGTAGAGCAAATTTTTAGCTATTTAAAGTGCTTTTTTCCCCTTCCTTTTTTTTTAAGGTTAGGAATGCCCCCCCTTTTTTTTTTTAATATATTTTTATTTCTAGAGAGAGAGGAAGGGAGAGGGGAGAGAGAGAAACATGGATCATCTGCCTTCTGCTCATCCCCTACTGGGGATTAAGCCTACCACTTAGGCATGTACTTTGACTGGGAATTGAACTGGAAACCTTTTGATGCACAGGATGCCGCCCAACCGTGCCTCTCTGGCCACGGCTAAAGTGCTTTTTAAATACCTGCGAAGTTGCTGTTTTGCCTTTAACAAAATATTTATTAATGATTAACAGTCAGGGACCTGGAGCTTAAAAAGAGGTGGTAGAAATTCGGGACATAGATTTTAACATATTTAAAGAGTATAGTCCTTTGTAAATAGATCTCTTTATTAAAGTGGGTTTGTTTCTTAGAACTGAGAAAGAAATACCTTGTATAATAATTCCAGCTCTGCTTTGCCCCTTGTGTCTTAGTTTTTTGTAAAATCTGAGAAATGGAATGAGATGATTTTATAAATTCTAAACCCTTTCAGTTTTTCGGTCATAACAAAAGGTTATGGCTAAATTTTTTTGAATTGAGATATATTCATATAACAAAATTTGCCCTTTGAAAGTATATAATTCAGTGGGTGTGTTTTTGTATATTCACAAGGTTGCACAATCATCAGTATCTAAACCAGAATATTTTCATCACTCCAAAAAGAAAATCCATAGCCATTAGCTGTTACTACTCCTTCCCTGAGTCCTTAGCAACCACTAATTTATTTTGGGCTCTGTGGATTTGCCTATTCTGATGTTTCATATATATAAAATCATATAATATGTGGCCCTTTGTGTCTGGCTTCTTTTAGTTAGCATGTTTTCAAGGTTTATTTGTGTTGTAGCATGTATCAGAGCTTTGTTTCTTTTGCCCTGGCCTGGTGGCTTAGTGGTTGGAGCATTGTCCTGTACACCAAAGGTGCGGGTTTGATATACAGTTGGGCAAGAACTGTTTCTTTTTATGCCTGAATAATATTTCAGTGTATGTATGGATAACACCACATTTGTTTAACCACTTAAAAGTTTATGACATTTTGTTGGTTTCCATCTTTTAGCTATTTTGAATAATGTTGCTATAAACATTTATGTACAGGTTTTTGGGTAGACAATGTGGTTTCATTTCTTTTGAATATGTATCTAGCGTGGAATTACTGGGTTATATGATAATTCTATATTTAACTTTTTGAGAAACTGCCAGACTTTTTCAAAGCAGCTGCGCATTTAAAATTTTTACTAGAAATGTATGAGAATTCCAACTTATCCCTCCTCACCAACACTTAACTATGTGTTATTAATTGATTGATTTAAATCATGATGGTGGGTGTGAAGTGTTGTCTAAATGTGGTTTTGATTTGCATTTCTCTTATCTCTTTAAAGACCTTATTTTCAAATACAGACATTGGGGATTAAATTAAGGTTTTAATATGTGAATTTTGAGGAGACACAGTTCAGTCCATAACAACCCATGAAATATTTTGTTGGAGGAAAGTGATTGTGCTAATCAATAAAAAGGGAAGGAGGGGGTTACAAACTATTACTTTCATAAACTATGTAGTTCCTTCAACATAAGAATTTATTTAATCCTCACCTGAGGATATTTTTTCTTTTGATTTTTTTTTTTTTTTTTTTTTTTTTATAGAGAGAGGGGAAGGGAGAAGGAGAGAGAAAAACATTGATGTGAGAGCAATACATAGATCGGCTGCCTACCGCATGCCCCCTACCAGGGATTATGCTCAAAACCCAGGCATGTGCCCTGACTGGGAATCTAACCAGCAACTTTTTGGTGCATGGGAGGATGCCCAAGCAACTGAGCCACACTGGCCAGGGCAACATGATAATTTATTAAAATTGCATTTACATGTAGCTTTTTAAAAACGTATTTTTATTGATTGTTTAGAGAGAGGAAGGGAGAGGGAAAGAGAGAGAAACATCCATGTGAGAAACACTGATCAGCTGCCACTTGCATGCTCCCTACCAGGGATCGAGCCCAAAATTGAAATCGTGCATGTGCCATCCGATCTGGCAACCTTTTAGTGCACAGGAGGACATCTGACCAACAGAGTCACACCAGCCAGGGCTTACATGCAACTTTTTAAGAGCCCATTTATTTTGTAAACTTACGCTTATAAACTGTCTTTTCTGGGATTCTAGATCTCTATTTCTTAGTAATTTAGATTCATAGAATCTTAAATGATGCAAGCAATTCAGGTATTACCATTGGCGTGAGGATTTGTTGAGATCATTAAAACTTTGGTTTATATTATTTTTTGCTTCTGTAAATTTTTGTGGAATCTGATTGTAATGATTTCTAGACTCAGGATTAAAAGCATTGAATTAAGAATCAAGAGTCCTAACTCTCTACTATTAATTAAGATTTTGATCTTAGGAAATAAGTTTCATAAATCTGTGACTTGGGATATCCTTCCAGTTAGAGCATAAAAGAATATTGAGAAAAATGAATGCCCTGAATCTCAATTTTGTGAATCATCATGTAGTAATGACAGTTACGAAAGCACTTTGAAAAATAAAATTTGTAGAAATGCAACTTGCCAGTTTCACCAGTAATTTGCTTTAATTTCTCAAGTAAATAAATGATTTATTTTATTTTGAATGTATGTTAAAACTCCCTTGGAAGTTAAAAAATGACCCTACTTACTCTT